TCACCAGCCCCTAATTATTTATTTATTTATTTATTTATTTATTTATTTATTTATTTTGGCGGAACCGGGGATTGAACTCAGGCCCCTGCGCTTGCCAGGGAAGCTGCTTATTCCACTGAGCCATCTCTCTGGCCCTAGTGCTAATCATTTATTAGAGGAATTTCTAGAATGTTCTGTTACAGAATCAGATTATGTCATCTGCAGAGATAGTTTTGCTTCTTCCTAATATGAATGACTTTTATTTCTTCGAACTTCCAGTACAGTGTGAAATACAGGTGGAGAGGGTGAGCATCCTTGTCTTGTTCTTTACTTTAGGAGAAAAGCTTTCAGTCCATCAAGTATAGCATTAGTTGAGGTTTCTTCATAGATGCCTTTAGCAGGTTGAGCAACTCCCTTCTGTGGCTAATTTGTTATAATGAAAGGTGTTTAGATTTTTTCAGATGCTTCTTTTAAGTATGAGAATGATTTTATGGGTGTTTCTAACCTTAATAATATTGGTAGATCAGAATAGCTGCAATGTAATGTTATTGCAAACAAAATCACTTACATTATGGACTGATTGGAGAAAGCTCCATTAAACTCTCATAAGCTGCTGCAAAGCCAGTAAAGTTTGTTTTAGGGATGTATTTTTTAGAAATACAAATTGTTGCCAGGTGTGGTGGTGCATGCCCGTAATCCTAGTATTCAGGAGGCTGAGGCAGGAGGCTTGCCATGAATTCAAGGCCAGTCAGGGCTATAAAGTAAGTTCAAGGCCAGCCTGAACTGCATATTGAGACCCTGTCTCAAAAAGACAAAAGAAAAAGAAAAAGAAATTCAAGTTGCTAAGATACACAAATACATTGTATAGGGGAAGTTATACAATAGCTTTAGTGTTGTAGTGATAGGAACCTTTAATGATAAATATATTATGGCAGAATCGATATATAATTCTTCAGATGTTATAAATAGATTATTATTGTTAAACTGTAGCACTTTTAAGAAGCATTCTTGGGGCCAGGGAGATGGCTCAGTAGAATAAGCACTTCCCTGGCAAGCGCAAGGGACTGAGTTCAATCCCCATTTCCGAAAAAAAAAAAAAGCATTCTGGGGCTGGGGACATAGCTCAGCAGACTAAGTATGTGCTTAGGCAAGTGCAAGGACCAGGGTTTGATCCCTAGCACTACATGCCATGTTGGTCCTGCCCCTGGGCACACTGAGCCAGCCATCAAGACCAGGTGTGGTGGCACACACTTGAAATCCCAGGGCTGGGGAGACTGAAAACAGGAGGATCACTACAAGTCCATGATACATAGTGAGGCCCTATACCAAATACATAAATTAAAAAAAAAAAGAAAGAAAGAAAAGAAGAAAAAGAAGAAGCATTTTGCTAAGCACAATGGCACATATCTGTGATCCCAGAATTCAAGAGATTGAGGCAGGAAGATTGTATGAGTTTGAGTCCAGTTTGGGCTACATAATAAGCTCAAGGCCAGCCTGAACTATATGAGTGAGACCCTGTCTTAAAAAAAAAAAAAAAAAGTACTGTTCTATTGAAGGAGTTTAAAATTTTAACTATTGGAAGATCTGTTCTTAAAATATTAAGCATAAGCCATTGCTCAAATTGAGAGAACAACATGGAAAGCATGTCAGCATTTGCTCAATAACTTGCTTGGTGATCAACTCTTTTCAAAGGTGAAAAGGCAGAATGGGTGTAAATTATAGATTTTTATCCTATCTTCTACTTACAGAAATTAGAAGTAACTTCTAGGGGACTAAGTACTACTATATGCTCTAATAGGGTAATATACTCATCCTAGCTTTTGGTAAATGCCAAAGCAGAATAACAATGCAGAGAGAGACAGAGAGAGAGAGAGACAGAGACAGAGAGAGACAGAGAGAGACAGAGAGAGACAGAGACAGAGAGAGAGACAGAGAGAGAGACAGAGAGAGACAGAGACAGAGAGAGAGAGAGAGAGACAGAGACAGAGACAGAGACAGAGACAGAGACAGAGACAGGGAGGGTGGGAGGATGGGTTGGACAGACAGACGGACGGATGGACAGATTCTTTTTACACCATAAGTGTTATAGCTTATCTTAAAAGAAGACATTATGCTATAAATGAGACCTTTAATAGCCATGAGTAATCAGTATTTGTATTTTGTAGTCATGTTTATATCTCTCAAGTTTTAGGGCCGGCCAGATAGCTCAGTGCACTAAAATGCCTGCTTCAGTAGAGCACAGCGGCTGGGTTTGATCCTGATCCCTGGCCTGCCATACTGGCGTGCTGAGATGTGTACAGGGTGATTGAGACTGGACGTGGTGGCACATGCTGTAATCTCAACACTTGGGAGGCTGAAAACAGGAGGCTCACTATGAGTGTGATCTGTGTAGTAAGACCCTGTGCACCCTGTAGACTCTGTCCTAAACTCATATATATATATATATATATATATATATAGATATAGATATAGATATAGATATATGTTTTGTTACCATTTCAAGTTTAGCCAGTAATTCATCCTTTACTGAGATTGGCTTTATGAACAGAAGTGCAAACTTAGGAATCTGGCCATCAGACATCTTGATCTTTCATTAAAAAAAGTATAATTCCTGCTCAAAAAAGTCATAGCTTTTTACTTGGAGGCTAAGGGGTATGCAGCTCTTCAGATTTATCTAATGTATCAGGCCTCTCTTTGAGATACATGTCTGATGCTCCTATCTTGAACATCTTGGAAATATCCTTTCTCAATAGTATTAAACTTCTACTTTATGAGCCAGAGTTTGGTCAGTATTTACCCACTGACAAGTAGGTAACAAGTTGCTGAGACTAATATTCTCCAAGTGGGTGTCATGATGATTTCTTTCCAGAAGTGGTAGCACTAAAAGCCAGAAACAAAATTACTAACAAGCAAGCACTCTTGATTTGCACACTCTGTAGTCAAATATAATAAAACACTGCAAGACCTAACATGTCTTTTTCTCAAATAACTAAGTCAATCTTCAGCCATTTTTATTAATTAAGGAAATACATTCATAAATGTCCTAAAATTTATTCTGAAAACTTGTATAGGGATAGGGAACCTTGGGTTTGTCTTTGTGTCCATGTTTTGCCAGGACTAATATTTCATCTAATTTGTGTTTTTTAAACATACACCAAAAGCTGATAAGGAAAGAAAATTGTGTTGGAAATGTAGTCTGTAAGATCATAAGATAGCAGAAAAAAGTCAGCTGAAGGTGGGAATTTGCCCTGAAAAATTAAGTTGTAATTCAAGTACAGACCAAAACCTTGTGTTGTATGCGAATAGCAGTACTAGGCCACCTTCATACTCCCACCAGCTTAGATATAGACAATGCGCAAATTCCAATTAGATTTTTTTGGGGGGGGGGCAGAACTGGGGATTGAACTCCAGCCCTTGTGCTTGCCAGGCAAGTGCTTATTCTACTGAGCTATCTCACCAGCCCCCAAACCCCAGTTAGATTTGACAGTTTTTGACAGATACAAATATTGCTTATTGTAATTTTTTATCACCTCTAGGTTTTATTTAAAAATAAGTTTCTGTTCATATAACTAGTGAATTGTGCTTGGGCATAAGGGCACACACCTATAATCCCAGGATTCTGTGAGACTGAAGCAGTAGGATCGCAAATTTGAGCCCAGCTGACCAATTTAATGAGGCCCTATCTCAAAATTATATACCCCACCCCCAAAAGAAGTTTTTATTGTACAGACTTCTCTTAGAAAAATAAGTTTTTTGACCCAGTACCCCCCCCCACTTTTTCCTTCTTCCTGTACAGCCACTTTCAACATATTTAGTTGGTTCTTTTCATCTTTATATTCATACATAAAGCTTAAATTACTACTTAAATTTTTCATAAGATTTTAAGTGCCACCTGTTGGCTTACCACTATGAATAATGATTTTACTGACTTATACTGTCATTAACACAACACATATGCTTCTGGACCCCTCTTCTATTCCCCATCCCCTTCTGAGATTGATGATAATGAAATTTAGTTAAGATGCCTACTCAGCATTCGTGTTACTTTGCACACATTTGCAGTCAGGTTTTCCCTCTTTACACATTTTTTAACCTCTGTGCACAATTACCTTTTTAAAATTTTGCCTATCTTAGTTTTCTGCCTCTATAACAGAATCCTACAGACTTGATCAGTTTTAAACAAATTAGTTTTTGGATCACCATATGAATGCTGGGAGATCAAGTTGAAGGGCTGCTTCAGGTCAAGGTTTTCTTGCTCCATTACAGCACAGCAGAAAGGCAATCAAGAATGAGCAACTAAAAAGCTGAGCTCAACTCCTTTTATTAAGAACCCACTCCCGCAACATAATATCTCTGATCCATTCAAGAAGGCAGTATTGGTACAATGACGGTAGAAATTTAAATTTCAACATGAATTTCAGAGGGGATGTTCAAGTCACCGAACTCAGTTTCCTAATACACTTTCTTCCAGTGAGGAAATCAGTTCGATTCAGACACACTTGGAATGCAGTGTATTCTCGTCTTCACTACTTTCCTGGTTAGTTCCTGGATCCTGTTGTATTGCAGGCATCTTGGAATCTCTGTCATCATCCTGCAAGATTCCTTTAAGCTCTCCAGTGTTGAGTCACCACTTTCCCTAACCCAATGCCTTTTTCTTTTCCTTTCTTTTCTTTTCTTTTCTTTTAATAGAGTATACTAAATCCTAACTAACTGAAAAGGATATCTGAGGAATGTTTTCTGAGTTCTGCCTCTTTGAAATCTCTCTACCTTTATACCTAACAGATAGTTTGGCTATATAAAATTCTAGAATGGATATTATTTCCTTTCAAAATTTGAAAGCACTGCTTCATTGTATTTCAGCTTTTGGTTTTACTGTTGAGAAATCCTTGCCATTCTGATTGTTAATATCTTTATCTGAAACACCTTTTGTGTTCCTCTTCATTTTGCCCCATTGCAATTCTGTACAGTGGGCTTTGCTGTCAGCCTTTCATACATTTGTTCACGATCCACTTGAGCCTTTCTTCTGCAAAGACATGCCTTTCAGTTCTTCAAAGATCTCAGATTAATGTAGGGGTTATTTCCTATACTGACTTTTCTTTGACCTTTAATTGTCTTTCTAGAAACTATTATGTTTTCATTATTTTGAGTTGGACCTCCCAGGCCAGCCATCTGTTTTGCTAAATTTCATTCTTTGCCATTTCTGTCTGTCTCTCTCTCTGTGCCTGTGTCTCTGTTTGTCTGTCTGTCTCTCTTTCTTCTTTAAATTTTTTTTTTTTGTTTCTGTAGTGGGGGACCAAACCTAGGGCTTGAAGCCAGCTAGCCAAGTACTCCACCCCTAAGCTACACCCTCAACTTTTCCTTCCTTTCCATTCTGCTAGATTTGATCAACTAACTTCCTTCCTTCCTCTTTTCCTTCTCTTTGGTGTTCTTCCAGTTTCTTTTGAAATAGTTTCACTGTTTCCTTCTATTTCTAGGAATATTAGTGATAAACACCACACCATCCTTTTCTATTTTCAGCAGAAAAGTGTCCATTTATTTAAAGTTTTTCTCACATTTCTGTAATCTTGGCTATTTGACTAGATGTAAGAGGGAGGAGTTTGGAAGCTACTGAAAACTATCTGAGAGCCTGTAGGGTCATCCAGTCAGGAGGTTTCCTCAGGGGAAGCCCATTCCTCAAACTTGAAATCTTTTCCCTTGTCCTGGTCAAATTCTCCATAGAAGACTCTTTCAGCTTCCTGCCTGCAATTTTTATTGATGTCACGGTTCTAGCGATGAGTATGAAAGGTGGAGACCCTCACTTGTCCATATGTAAACTCCCCAAGTTTATCAGTCAGAAACCTGGTCCCTCACTCGGCTTAGCAATCTTAGTCCAGAACCCCTTCATATCACCACCTTCTACTCCTCCAACAGGTCTTGTTCTTACCGCCATAGCCAGAGGTCCCAGATGTCCCCAGTGGTAGGCTGTTTACTTTTTGGTATATCCTAATGTTGGCCTCACATCCACGCTTCTTTGACTCACTCTTGGGCTTTTCACATTTTCTTATTATTTCCTTTCCCTTTCTCTTTGTTCCAGCAGGCACAAGGCTTTTAAAGAGTTGTTTTTAGGACTGGGGAGATATCTCAGTGGCATAAGTGCCTGCCTAGCAAGTGCAAGTTCCTGAGTTTGATTTCTAGTATAATAATAATAATAATAATAATAATGATGTCATTTTCATAGGGTGTGTTTCTTTTTTTTTAAACCAGTAATCAAACTCATAACTATGTTTAGGGGTGGGGAAAAAAGGAATTGCATATACTCAACCTTACTATCTTCAACCACAATCTCTATTTGTTTCATTTGTCCTATGATTATAATTCAATGTAAGAATGTTGCTATATTTGTTTGGGCACTTATAAATTTAAAGGGGTCCTAAAAGGAAAAGTCTTTCCTGCTAAATTCTTACTCTTTTTCATCCCCCACTTCCTCTTCCTGTCCTTCCCCTTCTTCTTCATCTTCTCAAGTATCTGGGATTATAACATGTGCCACTATGCATGTGTTAAATTCTTGTAAGTAGGACACACAGGCATTCACAGAACAAATGCCATGTATCCACATGTGCACACATATATAAGCCAAGTCTTAAAAATTCTTCCTGATAGTATATTCACATGAAATGAGTATGGTCAAAATGAGTTATTCCTGTCTTTCACCTCTGTGTTAAATCACATCAATTCTAGCCAATCTTGGAATGGAAAACAAAACCAGGGCTAGTATAGAGTGTGTAAAGAGATTCTGAAAACCCAATATTTTATCTAAATTTGAGTGTTTTTTTTTTTTTTTTAGTGTTTCTACAGTTGCTACTCTTAATGCCAAAGACAAAGTAACTTTTCTGTATTTGTTTTCAGAATTTCAGAGATTGAAAAGAAAGCAAATGATCACTCTGAGATTGAGACCCAGACAGAAGGGAACACAGAAAAAGAGAATGAAGAGGAGAAAGACACAGAGACTGTGGGTACCAAAATTCCAAGACTGCTGGACACACCCAGGGCACATAGGAGTAGTACCACCATGGGATCACATCATCTCCTATTTCCTGTCTTGTTTGAGTTTTATTCATTGTTAACTGTAGTGAGATGTAATTGTATGACACGCTATGAAATAGGTTGTATATTTTGTGACTGATTAATTTCCTAAACCTTTAAGTGAACAAACCCACTAAGTGAAAAAGGAACTTTATCTATTCTATAATGAGTTCATTTGATGATATGATTGAGACACTGGCAGAAGCAAAGCAGTTTCAGTGATAGTCGCTCATGTATATATTCAGTGTTGCAAGGTAACTGAGAGTGAGTTAATAAAAACATGAAGCTGAAACAGCAATAGTTGCCCAAGTGAAAGGCATTTATATAAAAAGCTACATTAGCAAATTCACTTTTTTCCAAGCATGTATATTGAATGCCTAGTCTTTCAAATAGGGAACTACACAATGATGCAGAACATGTAGAAAACTGAGATGAAAAGATCTGCAGTGTATAAGTACTACATTGTAGACTAAAACCCAATACCCACTAACAAAAGTATTGAAGTTTCTAAGGTATAAAACTTATTTACAGGAATTACAGAGCTAACAAAAGAAGGGCTGTGCAACAGAAGTAGTTATGTAAACAGGAAACCTACATGGGTGGAGTTGGCACCTTGTGATCTGTAATCCCTGAACCAGGAGACGAGGGTCACCTTTAGTAGGGATAAAATCATGACCACAAGTGCATCCAGCCTGATTAGTTATGCTTTATTAGGAAACAGATTTGCATCCAAAATTTTATCTGGAGTAGCAGTTAGCCAAGGTAAATCTGTCCACTGGTTAGTCTTGAATGACAAGGAGTGGCTCAGACTGTTTCTCATATCGGCTCATTTAATCCCTGATAACAATCACATGGGACTCTTTGGCATCTTCCATATGACAGATTGGAAGTGCAGTGGAAGTGTTGAACCTTCAGGTGACGTCCCTATTTAAGGAGCTTCAAGAGGCTCACACAAAACTCAGTGAAGCTGAGCTAATGAAGAAGAGACTTCAGGAAAAGTAAGAATAATCTGTTTTATCCTCCTTTAAAAAACAACTTTTTATCTTGTACAGCAATTAACCACTAAGAAGAATATATGCAGTGTATTATTTGTTGAAACTGTACTTTCGATTTGATTTGAAACTGTCTCATTGCTATATGTTTATCAATAAAACTTTGAAAAGAAAAAAAAAAGAAAAACAACTTTTTACAAGGTTTTGTTAACCCATTTTTACAAGTCCTTGTTAATGAATAAAGGAAAAATGGAGACCTAAGATAGGAATAAAAAACACTAACATACGGGTTAACATACAAGAGTAAAATTCTTAGCCTAGTGGGGTGGAATATGCCTGTAATCCCAGCAATGGGGAGGCTGAGGCAGGAGGATATTGAAGTCCTACCTGGGGAATTTAATAAGACCTTGTCTTGATCAGGCTGAGGATATAGATCAGTGAGGAGGCCCTGGTTTCATTCCCTATTACTGAAAACAACAGTAACAACAAAAGAATGAAGTACATAGTACAATGTTGAGGAATGGGGACCAGGGGACTTTAATTCCCTGTTAATATACTAGTCTATGCTTCCCCTAGCTACAGCTGCAGCCAGATTCCTGTCTGGCTTAAGCTGACAACAGTCATATGAACAAGCAAAGGAAAGCAGGCCCAGGGGCCAAGGGTTCAATCCCCAGACCTGTCGTGCCAGCCCCCGGGGCACACTGAGACAGCAATTGAGACTGGGAATGGTGGCAAGTGCCTGTAATCCCAGCCCTTGGGAGGCTGTAAACAGGCAGATCACTACAAGTCTGATCTAGTAGTGAGACCCTGAACACCCTGTAGACCCTTCCCTAAAATACAAAAAAAAAAAAAAAAAGCAAAGGAATAGAGCATAAAGAAGTTGAGGTTTTAGAAAAAAAGTAAATTGGAATCGAATATTTTAATCAGTAATTAAAGTTAATATGTAAATTGAGAATTTTGGATTTGCTGGTTCCTTTTGATGTAAGAAATTATCTGAAATTTGGCTAAGCTAAGTTAAAGTTATTCTATTGGATTAGTTGGCAAATACATGTCCAACTAGAGCATAGATGTGTTTTCTTGGAGGTTACACTTACCAGCATTCTATAGTATTATGGTAATTGGTAAAGTATCATTAAATAAAATGAAGTATTTAATGGGCTGGGGAGATGGTTCAGTGGAATAAGCACTTCCCTGGCAAGCGCAAGGGCCTGAGTTCAATCCCCGGTTCTGGGAAAAAAAAAAAAAAATCCAGCCACAGTGAAATATTTAATATGCTTGGGATTAATGCCTTGTACATAGCTATCATTCATTTGGGCTTTTTAAATTCATTCATTTTTACTATTATTAGACTGAAATTCTCTTTCTGATCGCTAAGAAAGTAGGGGAGGTTTCCTTTTTCCATACTGAATCTTTGTCAGGAATCTAATTCGTTGTGATTGATTAATCAAACTTTAAAAAATATAAAAGGTATGCCATAGCTCATTATGTAAAAATCACCTGTAGCCAATTACTGCCTTGGCCTGTGCTGAAGTAACAAAAACACCATGCATATGCCTCATTAAGACAATTATTCCAAACAAAACTACTTCATGTTATACTTAGAGCTGTGCTTTTCATGTTTAGGCATAAGGGTTCAGAAATATGCCTACCAAAGAAGAGAAAGAATAAAATATTTTATTTTTTCATTCATAAATCATATAGCCTTATACTTACTGTAGTTTACATAATCTTGAGATTTGTTGAAAAGCCACTGAGAAGTAGGACATTGTTTAGTCTCATAAAATCTTCAACTTTCTTAGGTGCCAGGCCCTTGAAAGGAAAAATTCTGCAACGCCATCAGAGTTGAATGAAAAGCAAGAGCTGCTTTACACTAATAAGAAATTAGAACTCCAAGTGGAAAGCATGCGATCAGAAATCAAAATGGAACAAGCAAAAGTGGAAGAAGAAAAGTGAGTATGCCGAACTGCTTTTTTATATGTAGATTAGGAATTATAAATAAACTCATTAAATGTTTTTATTTATTTAAAAGAGCCCCAGGAAACTCTTGGGAGAGATATTTTATCATAATAAAATTATGAAAATGATTTGTATCCTTTCTTGTGTTTGAGAAAATATTTTCTTTAAAAGAAAGAAAATGCTAGTAGTTGGTGGGTATCTTAGTTAATTTTCTCATTGCTGAAATGAAATACCCAATGTCCAAAGTTAAACGGGAAGGGTTTATTTGGCTCAGTTTGTAGAGGGTTCAGCCAATAGTCAGGTAGCTCCAAGCCAGGGTGGCTGGCAGAGAAGGCAGAAGGCAACAACACAAGCAAGAAGGAACCAACAGACATCCTTGCAGCTTCTTTTGGGCTCTTATAGTCTATCTAGACTAATAGGATTAGCACGGTGCCAAGCCAGTCAGTGGACTGATTTAGTTATCGCACACCCTTCATCTCAGCATCACACACTCTAGATTCAGCCACCTCCGAAAAAGCCCCACGTCTGACTGCATGAGGCTTTGGGCGGGGGTGGGGGCATCTAGACACAACCTGCAACAGAGGAATAATGAAAGGAAAGAACATTTTGCTACTAAAATGTTTAGAAGATGATAAGTAGACAAGATTCAAACCTTATGTGATATTTCCCCCAAGATTCCATCTTTAATATCTTTTTTAATAGGTCCAAGTTTGCCATTCTGCAGTCCACACACAACAAGCTTCTTCAAGAACATAATAGTGCACTGAAGAAAGTTGAAGAACTGACAAGGAAAGAGGTATTCGTGGGGAAAAAAATTCCTCCACAAGCTAATGGTGAACACAAACCAATGAACATTTTCAATATAAAAAATTTGTAGGGGCTGGGGAGATGGCTTGGTAGAATAAGCACTTACCTGGCAAGTGCACAGGCCTGAGTTCAATCCTTGGTTCCGAAAAAAAAAAAAAAAAAAAAAAAAAAAATGTGTGTGACTTCGCAACTAAATCTGGTTTCAGAGTTGCTTTTTAGTTTATAATTATTTCTTGGGCTAAAACCTGTATCACTTCTCATGTTCCACGTACTTACAGTGTGCTCTGAGTGCACAGATGGAGTGAACAGTCTGAGTCAGGCTGTGAGCTTTAGATTTTCACGTGGGAGCAGCAGGAGAGCTGAGGGCAGGCTTCATGTATGAACAGGACACTGCGACAGCTGCTAGGGCCAGGTGGGGCACCTGCTGTGTGAAATGGTGCAGTGAGCTTGAGACCAGACCCTGGGCTCATCAACATGCAATTTTTTTTTGAACATGCAATTTAAATCAGTAATAATGCCCAGGATGGTGTGATAATCTGCAGAATGTGGCAACTTTGAATTATAAAGGGTCTTGAATTTATACCCTTATGGATATATACTTTATTTTTCCTTTTTAAAAAATGTTTTCCCCTTGAGGACTAGATTTTAAATTTAAACATGCTTCTTCTAGTGATTTCACAAAGAGCAATATGGGTAACAGAATAATAGTATCAGTGAATTGCCATCTCATGTTAGCATTTGTTGTAATTTCTTTATTTTAGTGCTGTTTTCTAAAAAAAAAAAAAAAAGCTTGAGACAGGAAATTATTTGCAAATCCTATATTAAATAAGTACAACTTTTTGAGTAAATTAGCCTTGATAATTATCAGGCTAGTTTGGAGCTAGTAATGTTTTAACACATAAATTTTTATAGTCAGTATTTTAGTAAAAGTCAGATGTGGTGGGGCACACCCACAATCTTAGCACTCAGGATGCTGAGGGAGGAAGGTCACTGTGAGTTTGAGGCCAGCCTGGGCTATGTAGTGAGCTCAGGGCTAGCCTGACTACATAGGGAGATCCTGCCTCAAAAAAATTTGTATTTCTAGAATAAACTGCATTGTTTTAAAACCATGTCTAGGATTAAATTGTTTTTCAGTCAGAAAAGGTGGATACAGTGGTGCTGTGGGAACTAAATGAGAAACTGGAGTTGGCGGAGCAGGCACTAGCCTCTAAGCAGCTGCAGATGGATGCGATGAAGCAGACCATTGCTCGGCAAGAGGAGGAGCTGGACACCATGGCTGTCCTTAGGGCTCAGGTGAGGGCTGCCTGCGCACTATCCACGGGATGTGCTTTATCACTGAGCAGTGTTCACAACCTTTAAATTTATTTAGTATTATATAAACAATGCCATCCAGTATAAAACAAAAATTTTAGACAATGCAAGTATATATAAAATAAAAAGTACAAATTAAACTTCAAATTCTATGTTGGTACAAATATAATAGATTTTTTTTTCCTGTTCTTGCCTTAATTAAAAATGGGATCTTATTTTATACTATAGGTTTTATACCATCTTAACTATCTCTCCATATTATTCACCCACATGTTTTTATTTTATTCATATGATTTTATTTTTTAGCTGCTGCATAGTATTTGGTATTGTGTACTAGCAGGATAGATTTGATTAATCCTTTTTGTTGTTGTTATTGTTATTTTTTCTTTTGTATTTCAGGGAACAGTCTACAGGGTGTTCAGGGTCTCACTGCTAGATAAGACTCGTAGTGATCCATGTGTTTACAGCCTCCCAAGTGCTGAGATTACAGGCACACACCACCATGCCCAGTCTGAATCGCCCCGGGGGAGGGCTGGCACAACAGGCCCAGGGATCAAACCTGTGGCCCCTGTTGCAGGCATTTTAATCTGCTGAGCTATTTGGCCAGCCCTCTACTTGGTTGTTGTTGTACTAGGGATCAAACTTTTGCTTGCCAGGCAGGCACTTATGCCTGCTCACCTATATCCCCAGCCCTGGCTAATCCTCTCTTAATGGGCATTTAATTTGTACCAAAACTTTATTTTCTAGGCATGCTAAAGTGAATGTTCTTCTGTAGGTATCTTTGTGTGGACTGGTAGAATCTGGATTAAAAAACAGAAATGAAATAAGGTTATCGGATATGGTGGTTCTTAAATAAAACAATATCAAGTTATCTCCCCAAACTGGAAAGCAAAATTGTATTCTGATCAAAAGTAGATAGCCATTCCTATGTGGTCACATCTTTGCATCATTCTTTTAAATCTTTACCAGTCTAGTGATGTAAACAGATTATTTTAAATACCTGATGCCAGCATTTGTTATTTCTGTGTCTGTACTAGTTATTACCAGCTGTACACAGTGGCTGACCCTATGATGTATAGGTACTTTTTTTTGGTACTGCTGGCTTTAATTTTATTTGTTGGCTTGTTTTATTTGAGAAAGGTGCTTTCTGTATAGCCCAAGATAGCTCAGGCTGGTAATCAACTCATGATCCTCCACTTCAGGCTTCCAACTGCTGAGATTATAAGTGTGCACTCCATGCACAGCTTTAGGTTTATTTCTGTAGGGATAGACCTGGAACTTGCATTCTCTGAGTGCTTTGGAGCGTTTCCTTTGCTTGGAGAAGTCATTAAGTTTTCCTGTTCTCTGATACCATGTATTTGTGCTGTATTCTCTAGATGTGTATTTTGTCTTGATGGATACTTTTGTTTACTTGTTCATCAAATTTTTTGAGCACCTATCATGTCAGACATAATTCTCACTGTGGGGGGTGGTACAGGAGTGAGCAAAACAGACATCCTATTTTTAATGATTCAAAACTAGTATGTGATAGAACTGACTCAAAAACACCTATGACCCAAGGGAGGCTGAACAAGAGGACTGCAAGATGAAGGCCAGTCTCTGCAACTTAATGAGACTTTGTCTCAAAATTTAGAAGGGGAGAGCAATATATAGCTTAAAACACTTGCCTGGCATGTGTGAGACACTCCAAGCACAGCAATCCTTCCCGCCGCAAAAGAGAAACAAACCATGTCTATTGATGACACAACAATAGCTGTTATCATTCACAGTTGATACAAAAAGCTCTTAAAGTGATTTTTTTACATACTTTAATATAGTTCCAGTTTTAGATTCTATTAATTAATATTTTTAAAGTAATGAAAAACAATTTATATTCTAGAATCATTAAATTTGAAAACAGGAACCAATTTAAAACCTAAAATATTAAAAACTGGTATTAGAATAATGCTCATTTCACTCCATCAAGTGATGTTTTTACATTATAATATGATAACAATGTAGCAGTTGCTGACATAATGCATTAGTTATCTATTACTGGCAAAATTTAACAGCTTGAAACAAATAAAACCACTTCTTTTTTCACATGTGGTTTCTGTGGGTCAGGAACCTGCCAGCTACATTCTGACTCTGCATCTCTCCTGAGGCTGCATTCAGAATGGACCAAGGGTCTGGTTCCAAGATGTCTGTCGTGGCAGTGGACAATCTCTGTTCCTCACCTTGGTCTCTCTGGAGCACCACTAGAGCATCCTCATGACAAGGTAGTTGGCCTCCTCCAGGACAAGCGGTTCCAGAAGACAGCAAAGCTAAAGCCAGTGTCTTGTGATTTTCACCATCACACAGTTTGGCCCTATTTATTGTGGGATGGGGTCCCCTAAAGATATAATATCAAAAAGGTGAAAATTAGTGGAGCCATCCTGGAGGCTGGTGACCACATGTGGAGAGGTGACCACACTGCAGAGTCTATCGTAAATGGACTTTAGCCTGGATTCAGTGCTCATTTTGACACTCAACACACTTTCACAAAATTAGAAGTTTTTAAGCTTATTTATAAAATAAGGATGACCAGGAGCATACTGGCATATGCCTGTAATCTGAGCTACTTAGGAGGCTTGAAGGAGGATCCCAAGGAGGCCAGCCTGTATAATTTAGCAAAACCTTGTCTCAAAATTAAAAAAAAAAAAAAAAATGGCCACATGTGTTGTCTTAGTTACTTTCTCCTTGCTGGAACAAAATGCCTGACACCTATAGTTAAAGGAAGAAAAGTTTATTTTAGCTTAGGGCTTGTAGAGGTTTCAGTCCACAGTCAGCTGGCTCTAAGACAGGGTGGCATGGCAGAGGAAAAACAGTCCATGGCATAGCAGGCAGGGGCAGCAAGCCTTCCTTCTTTCCCTTAGTACTCCATCCAGCCTGTACGCCTATTATTGGAGCTACCCACACCCACAGGAAGTCTTTCCTCTTCAGTAAGTCCATAATCCACACCCAGAACTATGCTAAACCTATCAGCAGGCTGATCCAATGTCATATACCCATGATCCATCATTCCCAAAGGCCTCACCTATGAGCAAGTGAGGCTTTGAGGAGACATTTAGACATAAGCCCTAACAGATGTAGTTTAAGTGTCCCCAAGTTCCATCTCCAGTACTGCAGAAGGGGGGACCGACAGCAGTACTGCATTCCAAAGACTTTTAGTGAGGTGAAATAAGCACCTAACATGGGACCTCACACATACCTAAAATTCAATAAGTAACATCTTTTTTTTTTTTTTTTTTTTGAGACAGGGTCTCACTATGTAGTATAGGTTGGCTTTGAACTGTGTAGCACAGGCTAGCTTCAAACTTGCAGCGATCATCCTGCCTTAGCCTCCCAGGTGCTAGAATTATCAACACAAGCATCTTACAACATTTTTTTTTTTGTTTTTTTGTTTTTGTTTTTGTTTTTTTCGGAAATGAGGATTGAACTCAGGCCCTTGCGTTTGCTAGGGAAGCGCTTATTCCACTGAGCCATCTCCCCAGCCCCTATTGTTTTAAATTTAGTTTAAATAGAGCTGCCAGAGTAAATAAACTATTTACTATACTATTAATCCTGAATATTATTTTTAAAAAATACCATAGTGTTTTATTGAAATAATGGCACTTACATTGCTTAAGCCACTTCTATCAGTGAATCTGCAGGGTTTGAATTGGCTAAGGTACATACATGTACATGCTGCACATACCACTTGTATCTTCTGCTTAGAGTTGGAAAGTTGTAGTTGTACTGGCTTCAGCAGGGGCATTTATATGTCACCCACAAGGCCTGTCTACAAAGCAGGACTATTTTCTGACTTCATAAACAGCTGAGCCTTAGAGAATTCAAATTCATCTTGATAGTAAACTCTGCACTTTTTTCCTCTAACAGATGGAGATTTACTGTTCTGATTTTCATGCTGAAAGAGCAGCAAGAGAGAAGATTCATGAAGAGAAAGAGCAGCTGGCATTACAGCTGGCAGTTTTGCTGAAAGAGAACAATGCTTTTGAAGATGAAGACAGGTAAAGTCACAACACACAAGGAAGACTCAGAGTATGTGATAGTGGGGACTGTAGAAGAGGTGACTTGCCAAACAGGTCTCCTAATCTGAGGCATGTTAGGAGCCCTATCTACACATCCTTTGGTCATGTTCCTCCAGGGTTTGTCTTACAACAAAGCTGGACAGACCTGTTCCTTGCTTTGACAAAAATTGTAAAAACATACATTGTGTGCCAGAGTTCAGCCTTGCCATTGTCATCAACAAAATGTCCCTTATCACCAAGAAAATGATTTCAAATTACTTCTGAGACTGACAATTCTGAAATGACAGTTGCCCGCAGCTACTATGACTACAAAGTTGGTGGCAGCCACCTATCCAGGTTACGTATGTTACTATATTACATCTTAAAATAAGAAAATACTGATTTGTTGCAAATGTAGATATTATTCTACAACTTGATTTATATATCATTGTGATCTTATACTCAATTTTCATACATGAAGATTTAATTCTTGTGTTTAACTGCCATGTAGTCTTGATGTATAAATATGCTCCTTTTTTCCTGATCCATTATTCTATCAATTAACAGACTGGTTATTCCTAGCAGATTTTTTAAAAATCTTTTACTATATGGTCTCTTAGTGTCAAAAATATTTAAAAATTGGATTAGTGTGCTGGGGAGATAGCTCAGCAGCATAAGTGCCTGCCTGGCAAGTACATGGTCTTGAGTTCATTCCCAAGTAGCCCCCCACCCCCCAAAAAATTGGATTAGTTCCAAGTCTGGATTTTTACACCTTGGCTTTGTGGTGTGGCCCTTTCTTCTCCTCCTGCTGTAGGCTGTCTGCTTAAAGCTGTCATATGTCAGGGTTGCAGAACCCCAGCTAAAGTCTCGCTTTGATCATCCTAGCAGGCAATCCTTGATGGAAATGCAGAGCCGGCATGGGGCAAGAACCAATGACCTGGACCAGCAGGCCTACCTCGTTCAGAGAGGTGAGTTATAGTTCCACCAAAAAGACACTTGAAGAAAAGTTCCATAACATTTTTTTTAGGGTGAATATTTTAATAAATTCAGATAAATAAGCAGGAGCAGGTAAAATGCAGTGTGTTTAAGATTAATGAAAACAGTAATTCACTGCTAAAAAAAATCAAGACATTATTTGAAAGTGACAAAAATACAGTATTTTAACTCAACTGACCTGTCAAGCTTGCCAGTAATTTTCAATTAAGGAAAGTAATGAACTGAACATTCAGTAAAATATTTTACGAATTACTGTTCAACAGTATTTTTCTAAATACATTTTATATAATCTATGTGTTATCAAATCGGTTTATCTTTGAGTAAGCCATACATATTCAGAAAAATAGATTGTGGTGTTTAAAGTAAGTTTCTGATAGTCAGCTTTTCTCCACTAATATCAGTGTTTATGGTATTCATGCTGCAAAATCTTTTTTTTTTTAATTTTTTTTCATAACACTTTATAGAATAGATTCTATGCCCAGGTAGCCAGAATCTAGCTGGGCCTTGCAGCCCTTAGTGGCTGGAACTTGCAGTGATCTTCCTGCCTCAGTCTCCGGAATGCTGGGATTACAGGCAGATATCAATTTGCCTGGCTTCATACTCCACCATTTCAGACAGGCATGGCAGGCATGGCAGCACACAATCCCAGCACTCTGGAGGCTGAGGCAGGAAGGAAGCCTGCTGGACCACATAATGTGTTCAAGGCTGGTTTGAATTAATAGTGAGACCCTACCCCCAGACAATAAAATAACATAAACCCTTTTTAAACTTCATCTCCATGTACCGTCTCCCTCCTGAACTTAAAAGGACTCTATTCCTCTGCTATCTTATGTGTTTACATGTTTAAATATGCATTTAAATACTCAAATAAGCCCTCTTGAAGTATATATCTTCTACCCACTATGGTGTTTCACACAGGATGCTAATATTTATTAAGAGTTTACTCTGTGACACTGTGCTGAGCTCATGTTATTTGTATTATTTAATTTTATTCTCAAAAAATTTTTGAGATGTATATATTAGTACATTCTTACAAAAGACAAAACTAAAATTTTACAAGTTAAATATCCCAGGATCGCAAGCATACTTAGGAAAAGAATTAGAGATGAAATTCAGAGTTATTTGACTCTGACTGCTACATGGCACTATACACATAACCATTTAAATCTGTAATCCAGATTTCTGTGTCCTGAGTGAAAATGATCATGACACTTAAAAGTATGGTGCTATATTTAGTAGAAGCTGGTTTTTTGTTTGTTTCTTTGTTTTGGTACCAGGGATTGAACTCAGAACTTTGCACTTGCCAGGAAGATGTTTAAGCCACTGAGTTATCTGCCCAGCCCCAGAAGCTGCTTTTAATATTAGAAACAATGTTTTATAGTTTATAGTAAGTCACTAAAAGGGAAATATTATCCTTGATTTCAGATATAAAAAAATTCAAAGACTAACATAACTAGAGAAAAAATTAATGGCAATTCTACTAAGCAAAATGTTGGTTTAGGATATCACATTCAATTTCAAAAAAATAGAAAATTTTCACAAATTTTATAAAATTTGCTTTTTTTTGTATTTAGGACAGGGTCTACAGGGTCTCACTAGGTAGATGAGACTCGTAGTGATTCTCTGTTTTCAGCCTCCCAAGTGCTGGGATTACAAGTGTGTGCCACCATGCCCAGTCTCAATCACCATCTCAGCATGCCCAGAGGGAGTGGGAGGGCAGCACAGCACACCGGGGATTGAACCCTGGCCACTGTACCCTGCCTAAGCAGGTGCTTTAGTCCACTGAGCTATCAGGCTGGCCCTAAAATTTGCTTTTAAATGCTGGACCAATCCAAGTCACTTTTACATGCTGACAGGCTATTAAAAGGGAAACATGGACGCAGTATTCATATACACAGTGAACTGTCAAGTCTTGAGGAAAGTTCTGAGTTTCCTTTTTGCTACCCCTCTCCTTCCCCTCATTTACTCTGCATGGCCCGAGTTTTCATACAGGGAAAAAGAAAGTCCTGGTAAATATTAGAGGTAATAATGCAGGTTAAAGATAAAAACAGAAGTTCAATACCCAGTACTGAAAAAATAAATATACAGTATCTTTTTTAAGCATAGATTACTCACCATACATATACAAACAGGTAGCACAGTAGCATGACATAAATATTAGTGTGGGACACCAATAAAACCGTAGTACCAGCAACCAAATAGAACCACTGAAACAACACCCAGGATTGGGATGCAGATTTATTTATGTTGAGGCACTGATCAGGGTCATTCCCAGAATATTGGGCCCCAATTGCTAGTGCTCTAGGGCTTATATGGATAGGCAAGCAGAAGTACAGAGGCAGAATGACTTGTCAATTGGGGGTTGGTTTATACAGTGTGCCTCACAGTGACCAGCTATTTCTAAGAAACAGAAGCAACCAAAACTGGAATGGGAACTATTACCTGGGTTGTTCAAACTGAAGTATACTGGATTGGTGGGGAGCATTTTCTGTTATAGGTAAACTCTGTTCTCTGGAATCTGCACTGACCCAGGTAAGCATTCTCACTAAGGTGACTGAATATCCTAGGAATAGCTGTATACCTGATTTCTAGAAGTGCCATACAAAGTTATCTTGGGTCAGGTCAAATAGGTCATTTTGTTATACCTAGATTTCTTAAAGAAAGATTGTTTTATATATATATATATATATATATATATAGTATCCAGTTTAGATATATAATCTTAAAAATCTTTATGAACTTATCCTTAATTATCCTAATAAGCTTTTTGTCATAAAATTTCAAACACAGGACCGTCTTAAGATTTTTTTGCCACACATGGTGGCACACACTTGTAATCCCAGCACTTGAGAGCTTGAGGCAAGAGGATTTCTGAGTTCAAGGCCAGCCTGGACTGCATAGTGAAACCCTGCCTCAAAAAAAAGCAGAAGGAATTATCATTATCAATATTATTATTATTTAGTTTCTTAACAAAATTCCTGTGAACAACAGTTGCTCTTCATACATCTCATGTCTTTTGTCATCAGCATTCATTTAAATGTTTGCATGGTTCCAAGGCACTGAGCCATTGACTGGAAACAGAAAGGTGAAAGTCAGGGTCAGGCCCATAAGGGTGTGGGATAGCTCAGCCAGGAAGCACACATGAAAAGGTGAATGTGCAGTAATAAAAAGAACAGCATAAGGATAGGAGCAAAGGCTGATTATTAAGGCACAGGTTGTTGAGAAGGTGACTCTGAGCTCCACTTCCAAGCCAGGATTTAGATAAGGTGAAAGCTAAAGGGCAAAGGTAGAAATGAGCATGATGGGTTGATAAAGGAAAATGACTAAGCTCCTGACTGGTGAAGAGGCAGGAGGCTGAGGGATCATGCATAGCAGTGCCAGTGCAGGCTGGAGACCTGGACCACAACAAAAAGAAAAGCACAGGTCAAGGAACCCACTTCCAGTGAAGAATCCATCAGTATAGTGCTCTGTTCTGTTTATCATCAGTGCAGGGTTTGGCAGACTGTAGCCCACAGGCCAGTCCTGGCCTGGTTTTTATTTATTTATTTATTTTGAAATCTTAATTGGGAAACAGTCATGTACTGAACTACCTTTTTTTTTTTTTTTTTTTTTAATATTTTTGTATCAGGGTCTCTTAAGTTGCTAGTTGCCCAGGCTAGGACTTGTGATCTTCCTGCCCCCTCCCCCCATCATGCTAGGATTACAGGTGTCCATCATTATGCCCACTGTGACTGCAGTTTTATGACCTGTAAAACATACCTAACATTTACTCTCAAGGCCTTTACAGGAAGTTTGCTGGCCTCTGATCTCGATTAGTGAGACAATTAAAGCATTCCCTACTTCAGAAACCATGCTTTTTATGATGAATACATATATTCAAAAATATTTTTGTAGTTACACTTTTCATTGTATAGGTCTTCCTTTAACTTAGTCTTAAGCATCCAGCAGAAAAGTATAACCATGAGGTATAAAAAGTAATTCCATATTAATATGCTGAGCTGTAAAAGGCTCAAGTCAACAACTTCTGACAATTGCCAGTTGTGCTGATAACCCACTACTATTATGGACTATTGGACTATATTGGATTACTTTGCTGAATTCAAGTACCTACAATATTTGAACTGGCATCAAGTATGAAAAGATCCTTTAAAGACTTCTCCAAATATAGCTTCTCTAACAGCAATGGAACACCCATCTCTGACAAAACAAAACAAAAAGGAGACTATAAATGAAGGACCATGTGTAGTGGAAAAAAATTTAAACAAAATATATATGTATATACAAAAGTTATGATAGATATACAGCTACTTTTTCTTAGTTCAGTGAGATTTGTACTAATATTTAGACAAGATATGTCTGCATCTTGTACTCTGAATAACTACTATGAAGACAATATGCAATGTATTAATTATTGTAACTGTCCTACTAACCTGTTTTGAAACTCATTGCTATTTCTTTCTTATTAAAATTAATTTAAAAATTTAATTTAAAAAAAGTTTTGGGGACTGGGAAGTAATTGTGTGGTAGAGTACTTGCTTATGAGGCCCTGGGTTCCAGAAACACAGGTAGTTAGGTAGGTAGGTAGGTAGGTAGGTAGGTAGGTAGATAGACAGATAGATAGATAGGTAAGAAAGAAAGAGCAAGTGTCTTAAGTCTGCAAAATACAAACTATCCTAACAGTCATGCATATTCAATTCAAATGAACTTTGAAGCAGATACCCATATTAAAGGTAATCTTCATTATCTTTCGAAACAAGCCCAATGATGAGATTTAAAAGTGCCAGAGTGGTTTGCACTGCTCCAGAAAGGTGAGCTCAGAGATGCCAGAGACCATGATATTTCTCACAGTTGTTTGCAGTTTGTATGAGTCTAGGTCCTATAAGAGGCAGGATCTCTTTCCAATATAGCCTCAGCATAGCTCCAGAACTGGGAGAAATGGCAGGGTTCATTCTTTAGTTGTTCCCTGCTGACAGCCTTTGGGTGACTTGTGGCTTCTTTTAAGGGGAACCATCTCACCTTGGGTCTTTTTGCACCAAGCTGAGTCAGAACCCTTCTCTCAGACCAACCCCCCCTCCAACCCCCATACCTAACACTCCACTGCCAGCACCACTTATCTCACTTGGCTGCTCCATCTCTGCAATAACCCCACATACAATGGTCTCCTGAATGTTGTGGAGGTCATGCAAGTTTCTGCTGAGTAAATAAGCTGACTATCTGCTTTAAGAAGATCCATGCTGTGCCAGGGACCTTCTCCCATGCTGGCTTCCTTCTCTACCTAGAACCAGAACTGTGTATTTTCACAGACCTAGGAATTGTAATAGGTTTAAATTTCATTCTCTGTGTACACAGTGATAGCTTCCGTTGAAGACTAAAGCTTGCATTCATATACTACTATGCATTGGTTACAGGGTTTAACAGATGTTCAAATTAACCAGCTGTTTTCTAAAATCAATCAAGAGTGCTTGCAAGATGGATCTAATGGCACTATCATTTTCTGTTTACTTCCAGGAACTGACAATAGGAATTGGCGGGAACAGCAACCCCAGAGTATTCCGATCCATTCTTGCCCCAAGTGTGGGGAGGTCCTGCCTGACATAGACACCTTACAGATCCATGTCATGGACTGCATCATTTAAGTGTTGACGTGTCATCTTCCCAAACTCTTGGTAAATGTCAGGGTTTTTTGCCCTTGAAGACCTGTACTTTTGTCTTATTTGTTTTCCCTTAAATATTCTGCCTCATTATCCTTGTTTTAGGAGAAAGAAAGTACATCTATTCTAAAAAAGAAAACTTTGTGAATTTCCATGAACCCACAAAATACAATGCTTGGCTACCACCCTTCAGATACTGAATTCTTTAGTTTTTGCAGTTTGTGGAAGCAGCTGCACTGTTCATGCAATTTGCCAGCATGGGAAATCATGACAGAGCTTATGGAATAGATGGCATTTTGGATTTTGATCAATTTTTGCTTTTGTTCTGGTTTTCTTTTGTGTTTTGGATCCAATTATAGGCTTGTTCAGCCAGATGGTTTTTTGGTGGAAGGGGGACTGAACTCATCTTTTGTGTTTTGAGACAGGATTTCACTATGTAGTTCAGGCTAGCATTGAACTCACTATTTAGCCCAGGCTGGCCTTGAACTTGTGACCCTCCTGCCTAAACTTCTTGAGTACTGCGATTACAGGCATGCACCTCCACAGTCAGCTCTACTGATTGATTTTTTAGAGCCTTTTGTGAAGAATATGAAGCAGCCATAGATTTAATCAGGAAAAACTCTTTGAAATATTTTTAAAGTAAATTATATTACCATATTATTTTCCTTCATCCATTTAAAATGGATTTTTCGGGTTGTGTGTTTGTGTGTATATTGTAGGTTTATTGCAGCCACAATAATGGTACCAAAGTTATTTGGCTCTTTTCATCTGAGCACTGTGAGCTTTCAGCTAATATCAGGACATGTGAAAAAAATTACCAGCATACATAACACTAAGCTCACTAAATTCCTCATAACCATTCAGTGTTATCGTCAATTTTTTCATGGTACGTACTGCAGGTATATGGGCTTGTATAGTAAACAGTTAATTAATTTCTAAAAAGAACATCTGTTTTCTTCTTAGCTCAGGTTATCTTTTTTTTTTTTTTTTGCGGTACCAGGGATTGAACTCAGGACTCTGCACTTGCCAGACAAGCCCTTATTCTACTGAGCTATCTCCCTGGGCCCATCAGGTTATATCTTAATAATGACAAAAAGTAGTTATCACAAAATAAAATTTTGTCTATCAATCTTTTACACTGTTCATATATGACTAATTTCAGAGTGTGTATGTTCTATATCAAGCACATGTAGCTTAATATAAACATGCTAGTAAAGTACATTTTATTAATTTGATAAATATAAGCAGATTTCTTTAACAGTGAACAACATATGTTGGAATTAGAAGCTGTTCTTGCAAAGGTGGAGAGAAAGAGATTTACGATGGTTTTTAGGCTACTCAGTACCAGATAAGCTATAAAAGTAAACACTGTGTTTATGCAACTAAGTTGTAAGACATTTAAAACTTAAGAGACTTCCTCTCTATCATAATCTCTCTCCTAGGTGAACTTGATTATACACATCTTTAAGTATTGCTGAGGTACCCAGTCCTTCCCTTTTATTTCTCTCTCTCTCCTTCCGTGTCTGTCTGTCTGAATTTTGAGATAAGGTACTACTAAGTCCTCCAGGCTAGGCTTAAATTTGTAATTCCCCTGCCCCAGCCTACTGAGTAGCTGGGATTACAGATGTATGCCACCGTACCTAGTTTCTTTTCATTTCTTCTTCACTGTTTCTAGTATAAATTTTGTTTTACTATTTTATTTTAGAGAAAATAGATTTCTATAGTACTATATCCTGAGTAAAGAAGCAAACCAAATGGAATTATATTTAAGTTATTGGGGTAAACCTTTTATTTTGTTCTAGTAAAAATACACAACAGAACTAAATTTGGAAATAACAAGGAAGGGCTTATTAAGCTTGTGACCAGATGATGTGCTTGATAATTAGAAGGATTACAAATGAAATCAAGTCCATATGGTTAAAATTAAGTCTACTAAAAAGATATCTGCAGCATTATTCACAGCAGCTAAGCTATAGGAGCAACCCAGGTGACCACCGTTATTGATGAGTGGGTAAAGAAAGTCTATGTGCAGAGAAATACTGTTCAGCCTTAGAAAAGCAGGGGAAGCTGGGTGTGGTGGCACATGCCTGAAATACTAGCATTCCTCAGAATGACGCAGGACTGCAAGTTTGAGCCCAGCCTGAGCAATATAGTAACTCAGTGAGATTCTGTCTCAAAATAAAAAATAAAAAAGGATGGGAATATATCTTATTTTGAAGCTCTTAGTTTTTTTAACATTAAAAAGAAAATCATTTATTTATTCAGTACAGAGTCTGACTACGCAGCTCGGACTCATAGTGATCCTCCTGTCTCAGCCTCTCTAGCCTGGAATTATAGGTATACGCCAGTATCAGTGGCCTGCACAGCATGCCTGGGGTTCCAGGGCCAGTATGACATGTGGTACCGGGATTGAACCTGGGTCCTTGTGCTTGCCAGGCAGATGCCTAGACTCCCAGCTTATCTTCCCAGCCCAGATCTTAAGTTTGATCAACACACACACACATACACACACACACACACACACACACACACACAGAGGCATACAGGCAGGCAGGGAGAATTATAAAAGTAAACACTATGTTTATGCAACTAAGCTGTAAGACATTGAAAACTTAAGAGATTTCCTGTTTATCATAATCTCTCCTAGGCGAACTTGATTATACACATCTTTAAGTGTTACCAAGGTACCCAATTTTTCCCTTTTCCCTGTCTGTCTCTCCTTCTATGTCTCTCTTAATATGGTGTTAAGTGTAATTAGCCAGGCACAGAAAAAAAGATGTACCATACATGATCTCACTTATAGGGGAATAGGTAGCAAAAAGGGAAATGTTGATTAAAGGGTACACAGTTTCAGCTAGGCGGAGTGAACATAATAGATCTATTGTGCAGAATAGGGACTATAATAAATGTGTTGCTCAGGAGCTGAAACTACCACTGGAGGCCAGCCCCAAGGAGGGGAAATTTAAGTGATATGATGAATTGCTAGAGGCTCAGTGTGTTCACACTTGAGAGTTACAAGCTCTGGGATCCTGTCTTAAGAGAACTTCCACACTTCTATTTTTGCCTCTAGGAGGCCTTCCAACTTTCACATTCAAGACTACAGAAGATCCCCTTGTCCATACTTCTGGCAGGGGAGGGGAGAACAGCCATTTTGAAATATAAACCAGAGCAATCTGTTCTTCTTAACAAGCCTACCCTCAAGAAGATCTACTTCACTAGAGCCCAGTTGACCTGGGAGAAGATAAACTCCCATGCTAGGCTTGGCTTTAGTAGGTCACAGACTCAAGGTTCAGGCTCAAGGTTATCACAGGACAACAGAATGCTCTGCCTCCCCTGATACTTTAGCACTACTACGCATGTGGGGCTCCTGTAGAATATGAGGGGTTATAGTGAAAAAAGACTGCAGTGTCTGGGACCTTATTTAAGCAGTCTCTGGAAACCCAAAGGTCACAGGAGTGATAAGGATCAATGTTGAAATTTTGCCTCAGATACCAACAGATAAACAATAAACAGATTAAACAGATTAACCGAGATTAACTCCTAATCAGATAAGTACAAAGCTTGACCCTATTTAACTCAGCTCCCTTTATTTACTACTGTCTATCATGTCCAGCTTTTAACAACAACCAAAAAAAGTTATAAGGCAAAATAAAGGCCAAAGAATTCTATTTGAAGAGATAAAGCAAGTGTCACAACCAGACGCAATTAAAGATGTCAGCCTGGGAATTTGAAACATCTGTGATTAATTCTCTAACTTCACTAACGTTAGTAAAACAAGTTTCGTCTTAGGAAACTAGAAAAAAGATAGCAAATTGAGTGCAAAACACTGAAGAAAAGAAATAAAAGCTGGGTCTGGAGGCTCATGCCTGTAATCACAGCACTCTAGAAGGCTGAAGCAGGAGCACCACCGCAAGTTCAAGGCCAGCCTAAACTATGAAGAGAGACCCAGTATCAAAAAGCAAAAACAAACAAAAAGAAAGAAAGAGAAAGAAAGAAAGAAAGAAAGAAAGAAAGAAAGAAAGAAAGAAGGAAAGAAAGAAAGGAAAATCAGAGTAGAAGGCAATGAAATTGAAAACAATAGCAGAAAATCATGGAAACCAAAGCCTGGCTTTTTGAAGTGATTAATAAAAATGATAAACCTCAGATTAAAACAGAAGCTACAAATTATAAATATTAATATACTGCCAGGGAACAATTATCATTTGAAATATTTAAAATAATACTACTTATATTGGCTCAAAAAAAGACTTAGATCTAAATCTAGTAAAATATGTACATGATTTATAAGAGGGAAACAAAAAATTCTGATGATGATGAAATAAAAATCTAGGGCCAGAGAAATAGCTGAGTAGAATAAGCACCAGCCTGGCAAGCACAGGGTCCTGAGTTCAATCCCTTGTACTGCAAAAATAAATAAATAAATAAAATAAAAATCTAATAAATGGGTAGATAGTTCATGGTCATGGGTAAGATTATTCAATAGTCCCAAGATGTCAGTTCTTTGAAATTGATCTTTAAGTTCCGTATAATCCCCAATTTTAAGAAGCACATGTTATTTATAGGTGTCCAGAAAACAACTCTTGGGGCTGGGGTGATAATTCAGCAGTTTAAGCTGCCTGGCAAACACCAGGATCTGGGTTCGATCCCCAGTACCAAATGCCATGCTGGCCCCATAACTCTGGGTGCTGCACTGGCCACCAAAACTGGGCATGATGGTATGTGCCTGTAAATCCCAGCACTGGAATCAGTGACAAAGGAGGATCACTATGAGTGTGAACTGCACAAGGAGACCCTGTACCAAATAAATACATAAATAAATGGTATTTTTTTTTTAAAGTAACTCTTGAAATTTATAGGGAGAGGCAAAGGATCTAAGATAGCCAATGGACTACTGAAAAATAGAGGACTGATGCTACTAACTTCAAGACTTACTAAGATATTATGATAATTAAAGACAAAATGGAAACAGCAACAAATGTTGGTGAAACAGAGTAACGATCCTTGAAAAAGATTCACACAAATCACGTAATTGTTTTGTTTTGCTGGTACTGGGTTTTGAACCCAAGGCCTCTGCATGGAGCTACATCCCCATCCTCCTTTTCAGCTTTTTAAGACAGTCTTGCTGAGTTGCTAAATTGCCCAGACTGAACTCAAACTTGTGACCCTCATGCCTCAACCTCCCAAAATGGTGAGATTATAAGTTTGGACCACCACATCTGGCTTCAGTTAATCTTCAACAAAGGAGAAAACACTGTTATAGGGCTTAGTGGAGAAAGGATTTTGAATAATCCCTGAATATACTCATGCAAAGGTAATTTAGACGTAGATCTTAATACTACATAAACATAAAGCCAGGTACTGGGGATACAGTTCAGCAGCATAAGCACTTGCCTGACAAGCACAAGGTCCTGAGTTTGATCCCCAGTACCAAAAAAGCAAAAGGGCCAGCAAGATAGCTCAGTGGTCTA